AAATAATAATAATAATAATAAATTAAGGAGATAGTTTAAAATAGTTTATATTAGGTAGACAATAACCTAATCTATGTATTTATTTAACAGAATGATCTAAAAAAAGCTATTTGAATTTGTATAAAAAGTTCTTTTTTAAATCATCCTGTTTTAAATATATTTTTACAAAACAAATAATAATGATTTTAATTTGGTTGAAGAATAAATTACTTATTTTAAATTAAAACAATACTATTATTATTTGTGAACTGAAAAAAAATATTTAAAACAATGTTTGCTTGACTAGGTTTGCGATTCAATACATGACATGATAGTATATATTATGGACATGGTCAATACTTTGAAGTATAGTATAACACTATAAAAATGGATACATAGTAATAGGAAGTAGATTTATAAGTGCAGAGGATATAAAATTTGAAGCTATCTAAAAAAAAAAAGTATAAAATGTAGTCTTTCTTAAATTCTGAACAGCGTCTTTATTAGGGATTTTTCTGGTCATCTTGAGTATTTAAAGAAGTAATTTTTTTTTAATATACTTAATTATTATTATTATTATTATTGTTAGTTTTGACGCCTAAAATTGTTGTTTCTGGGTCCATCATTTTGGTTTCTATTGAAACCACCTCCACGATTATTGCCTGTACGCATACCACCACGACCTAAACCACCACCACCTCCGCCACTGCCACCATCTGAATTCACCATCGAACTTCTTGACTTATTTTTCTTTTCTTCAACATTCAACTTAATGCCATTTTCACCAGGAAGCATAATAGGCTAGACAAAAAATTAAAATTAAGATAAATATTTTATCATACATATCAAACATTTATATATATATATATATTTTTTAATTGATAAATATATCCAAATAACTTCAGAAAATAGGTTATAAATTTTAATTTAGTAATTAAATAAATTAAGAGTTATAAAATATTAGAGCAAATTTTTCAAAAACAGTAGTAGCGGCTATAGATATTTCAAATTTATATATGAGGTTTTTATCATTACCACATAGAATACAATATAATTATTAAATCAGGGATGACCAAAAAAAGCATTATAAGCTGCGCATTATAATAAAAACTAATAACTATTAGAAAAAAATTTAATGGACAACCCACAGGWTAGTCACTCATGTTATATATTAAGGTATGCATAACATGATAATGTTATCAAAAAGTTAATGTGAATTTATGAAAGTTAATTAACAAGTTTATTTTGCTTGCTTAAACAGGGTGATTTTTTCAAATTATAGACCACTCTTTATTTWAAAAAAAAGTATTCGTTTTTCATACTTTAAATTTTTTTTTATGTACTTCTCAATGTATACCTAAAGAAATGTATTTTGGTTAAACTTTGAAATATTTACTTTTAACCTTTTCAYTGCTTCAGATATATAATTACAATCCTGTATTTTTATAACCTTATCACTTGATGTTAACCAGTGACATGGTGAAAGTGGTTTTATGAAGTCTAGGCATCAAAGGATGAACATTTGTTTTGGGGATATGGCATGGTTGGTACACATTATGGTAACCAATAACATAAAACAAAAATGTACATATTTACAGTCATAAAATAATGATAAGTATAAAATGTTATATTAAGGTTTGAGAGAAAGGGTAGGTACTGAGATATTGCTATGCACCATGGTTTGAATGTATAATACACCACTACCATAATCACACAATTCTTGAAAATCTAAACAAAAACTTAAACAATTTGATCAATGAATGTCAATATTAAAATACTAAAAAGCATAGGCGGAACTACGGCCTGGGCCAACTGGGCCATGGCCCAGGCTAATTGGCTCCGTATTAG